CAGCGCCCCAGGACTCAGGAAGCCAGGCTGCCTCTGGGAGGCCCAGCACCCCAACACTCAGGAGGAGCCAGGCCAGCAGAGCTCAGTGCACTTCCTTTCACCATCCCGCCCAATCAAGTCTCCGCAGTTCAAGACCTCACTACAAGTACTTGGCGTTAGTCAATTTGTTCTGTTGCTGCACTGTCCACTGCCCACCACAGGAGTCTGAATTTAACCAGTTCATTAATAAGTTGTTTTCTTATTTTTGCTTAAAAGTTTCATGTAAATGAATCCATCTCAGGGTTTTTGTAAAACACCTACATGAAGCAGAACCACTGGCCTCTGAACTACGCAGAGAGGATGGCTCGCTTTCTGATATAACCAAGAACCTCTTGCCCAGAAGTTATGATTTAGAAGACAGCCAGGACATTTTTAAGACAAGCAAACACACATACATCACAAAATTCTACTTTGTGAGGACAAGACTATAGTGAGGTGTGATCCTCCTGAGTTGTCTGGAGGTGCTCTCCCCAAGGCCTGATGATCTAGAGTGGATGACAGCTTAAAGTCACCAGCACAGTCTTTGATTTAACAACACACCGACATGGCACCATGCCAGTCTACATTCAAAGATCATGCAAATCAAGGCTATGTCTGTCTGTCCTTCCCCTCAGGCCCCTGCCCCCAGTATCTACTCCCCCTCTTCTCCCACAGGTCCCACTGGATGCAGGCTGGCACAGATGTATTACTCCAGGGAGCTCCCTTGCTGGGCAGCCATGAACACCCACTGCTTGACCAGCCACTGCTCCTGAGAGAGGGCTGCCTGCACCTCTTCTCCGCCTCAGACTCAGCACCACCAGACAGGCAGCACGCTCGTGGCTCAGGCCTAGGGCAGCCTCCCACGCTGCTTCCAGAGTAGCACCACCTAGAACCAAGTGCAGGGCCCCAGAGTGACCTCTCCCAGTCTCTCCTCTTTGCAGGGACACCTAGGACCCTTCCTTTCCACTGGGCACTGTAAACCACTGACAACCACTCCAAAATGCAAAGAGCTAAGCATAACAGCAGCACAAATAGGAATAGGCTCTTGCGCGGATGGTCCACGTTTCCATATTCTGAGAGAAAATCAACCTGTGCTCCAGGACAGCCCCTGGGAATTCTGGACTGAATGACAGTCCAGACCTCGAAGGTAGAACCAAGGCTGGAAAGAGCCAGGAAAATACTACCTATGCTAGCCCGCAGGGACATTCCATACTTACCTTATTCCAGGTCTCTGCTGAGTCCCAGTCCTAACTTGGATATTGCACAATCAACTCAAATTCCCCACACATTCACCTTCTGTCCTGATTATCCATGGATCAAATAAGACCCAAGGTAATAAAATTATTCTGTATACAAGATTCATGCTAAATGAGTAGATTGTAGCTGTTCTTGCCACAAAAACAAAAACAAATGGATGCATTAATTGGCTTCCCTATAACCCTGGACCGGCAGGCTGTGTCCTGTCGCTGATGTGTGATTTAAATACACACACTGGAATTCATTGCAAAAAAAAAAAGAAAACTTGGCCCTCCAAGACACCTTTCTATACCCTTCCCCTGCATCCAGTTCCTGAGCCACGAGATTCACCTCCTTGACACTCCCGCTGGCCTACACTCCCGCAAGGATGAGAACCATAGCAAAAAACACAACAGCTGCACGTAGTCCACCAGCATCTGCAAGACCTCTGGCCACGCAGGTGCAGCCAGGAGGTTCCTATGCTCAGAAGCCAAGCACTGGAGGACAGAAAGAGCCACCCAGGCGGTAACGCCTGCCTCAGAGAATTCCACACACTTTCAAATACTCTTCTTCATAAATTATGAAGAATAATTGCTTAGATTTTTTTAAATGCTGAAATGTTTCCTTCTTATATACCTATTAATAATTTAATCAATCAACAAATCAAATCCAGAGTACACACAAAACATGATTAAAAACAGCAGTCTGTTACATAAAGTTACTTCATGATTTTCCTAGCAGACCTAAGACAATCTACTCCTCATAGCTTTAAATTAGGTCTTGCCTTCCAAAGGCCAACAGAACAGCTAGCAAACAAAATCAGATATGGGCAGTCTTGGGTGGACCATATTAACCTTCAGAAACCCCTCAGTCACAGCATGCTCAGGGTGACCCTGCCTCTTTCGGCCTCCAATAACAGAGCTTTCTGCTATCCCACAATCTGAAACTGAAGGACACCTGTGCAGTCCACAGGTGATAATTACTGTCATGCACCTGATCCACATATTATATGCCTATGTAGGAGTCTGATACTGGAAGCATTTTGATCTATACATAGAATTGTGCTGTGAACAGGAAGTAGCCTTCAGTGTGACTTCACCCAACACAGCCTCTAGGTGCCACATAGCCCTATTTTTAAATATCTCAGGTAGATTTAGATGCCACTATCTTTATTTCACTTAGACTAATCATAATATTCAAATTCTCACTGGCAAGAAAATCAGTGAATCTTAAAATTAGAAAAAAGCTGAAAGCCAGTGTCAATGGGAATAACACGCCAGCGGCAACCCTCAGTATCCCAGTCTGTGCTGGGGGTCCTCACTGGAGAAGCCACTGAACCCATGCCACAACACTGCAACCTGGTGCTCATGTCCCAAGTCCAGAACAAGTACACAGGCACAGAAAGGACTCACAGTGGGCTGCGAGATGGAGGGGTCAGAGCTGGAGCCACTGTGCCCCAGAGCCAAGGTGGGAAGTACTGCAACTGCTGGCCCCTCGCACTGGGCGAGCTTCCCCAGTGAAGGGCAAAGACCTGCCTCTCCCAGTCCCAGGTGGCACGAACCAGGCCTGGGGCTGGTGCATCCAGGCCTTCTTTTGGCTTTCAACACTCATCAGGAAAATGCAGGAGGCAAGAGAGGAACATGTGTCCCATCGTTCAGCAGGTCTCATGTGAATGCAGATGTTGTCACACTAGCTGTGCCTGAGACCTATTACCATCTAGATGGCAATTAAGACATCAGAACCTCAGGCATTCCCCAGGACACTTGGCCAAGGCAATCAGATCTAATGAGCACTGTGTGGGCAGCAAACTCCACGTCTGACTGAAAACTGAGGAGGGCTTTGCATGTTGTGGTCTTTAAATTATGTTCTGACACCAAAAGAGGTTTAAACCCACTGTCTTCTTTAAACACATCAAGGAACAAAAAGAAACATGATGGTAACTATAATAGGTAACTATAAAGTGCCACCTCATGGATACTTCATTAAGTTAATTTGTTCATTTTTTAACAGATTTTTTTTTTTAGCACCTGCCATGTTCCAGCTATAGACCTGGGCTCTAGGAATGCGGTTGGGAATAGATTAAATTTTTCAAGAGAATACTGAGACAGAGTTAAGAAAGACCAGTGGGCTGAGGAAGAGGGCAGAAGAACCCCAGCAAGGCCAGCAGGAGAAGCCAGGGACCGAATGCAGGCAGGCCTGAGGCAGTGGAACTCAGGCTCCAGGGTCCTGGACCTCTGTCTCTCCCAACTGGGCTTGACGGGGTGTTTCCAAATTCCCACAGCCAGTGCAGTCGAATGGAAGTGACTTCAAAGTCTTCCATTGTGAGGATGTTGGGGAAAGAGAATCCAGAGAGACCAGTAGTAATGAAGAGCACATGTGGCTGCCATGTGGGGCACCTGACCTGTCCAGCCTGGCCCAAACAGTCACCTCAGGTCTGTAACAAAAAAAGCATTATGAGGGCAACTGCCTACCCAAGCAGGGCTAAAGCAACAGGAAAAAAAATCAGACTCCAATTTAATGCATGCCTGTGTGAAGATGGTTCATCAAGACCAACATGGTTCTAGGCAATAAAATCATGAGGATGTTAGAAGAACCAGCCCTCACCTAAGCACAAGTCATACACCAATGTGAAAACAGCACCTTATGAAACTGAATTTTACTGATTAAACAAACAGACAAAAGAATATGAGATAGAGGACAAAAAAAGGTGGTAAAGAGTTGATTTAAAACTACAATTAGGTAGGAAAAGGAAATAAAAAAAACCTGATCCTGGTGCTCTGGCTGTGGCCACATAGGTGTAGAAAGACACCTGTCATTTGTGACTTGTTCAGAGGGCACAAGATGACCTCAGGAGGCCCTGAACGTGCTACCGGAAGAATAGTGTTTACCAAGAGCAGGAGGAGATACAGCCGAAGTCTCAAAGGTTCTGACCAAGAACAAGACCTCTGCTGTGGCATGTCCACTGCTAGGACAAGGGGCAATGACACCAAGGGAGGTGTGTGCTCACCAGAGATTTGGTTTTGTTGTAGCGTCAGGCTTCGGTGGGAAAATCACTAATGCTTTTACCCAGCAGTTTCCCTCTGGAGGAGCTGCAGACCAGAAGTCTGCCTTCACCTGGCATTCAGAGCACCTTCCTGCGCGGCAGCTGGGGGCTGAATGGGCAGTCAGATCCAGGGTGCCAGGACATGCAGGGCGCTGTGTAAACAGCACCAGAGGAAGAATCAAGAGCGTGCACCAGAAATAAGCTCCCCTAAACCCAGAGGAGCACAGTGCAGGGCTGCAGGGAAGCCCTGGGGGCTGCTCTGGAGGAACTGGCAGGAGGAAGCCACAGAAGAAGGGCCAAGTCTTCAGAGCCTGCCTGACTGAAATGTGGAATGCAAGTTTAAGTTCCCTTTGGTTAATTTGTTAATTGTCTTATTTGTGCATTAGCAATGTCACTCTTGTCCTACAGTTACTTGTCCTTGGTCACAGCTCCTGTGGAACAAACACTC